AGGTGGTTGATATTCCCTGATATGCCTATGGAATTAAAACGGGCTCTTTATTACCTACAAGTTGCCAAAAAGGCCAGGGATTTTATGGAGATTTCATTCAGGTTTGGAGAAAGAACTTTTTAATAAGCGAAGCTTAATGGGGAATGATTGTGCCCCATTGATCTGAGCTTCTTTGGATATTTGGTTCCATGTATGTACATACTTCCATGTGAAAAAAAATGTTTAGATGTATGTATTATATTAAGACATATATGTTACATTAAGGTATACGTATTGTGTTAAGATAAATATTCATATCGTCCTACACCATACTGCAGTGAATATTCTTGTAACTAAATATTTGTGTCTGGATATATTCCCAGAGTGGGACTTGGTAAGGACCAAGGATGAGCAACTATCAAAGTTTTAAATGTTTTAATAGATTTCATCACTTAGGTTTCAAAACAATTATAGCAATCGATATAAATTTACAAGCTTCATTTCTCTTAAAGATTTTTGGGTAAAGGTTTTTAGAAGTGCATTTTAACATGGTCTCATCATTTTCAGCCCAGTTCCTTCTAATGTATTTTTTTGTTCATCAGATAGAATTAATATTTTGAAAATATGAACCAGATGTTTCTGCATAATTTCCTGCTGTTGAATAGAATGCGGTCCTCTTGCTGTGACCTGCTAGGACCTGGATTACAGTCTCTCAGACAATTCCCCACACCTCTCCCTCCTCTGGCCTTAAGGTGCCCCGCCCTTCCCTCACCCCTTGAACCTGGCTGGTGACGTCCTCGCTTTCCAGCGGTCTTGCCTGCAGCTGGAATCCACTTGCCCTGAGGGTTCACATAGCTCCTCACCTCCTCGTCTCAGCTCAACGTCACCTCCACAGAGAAGCCGTCCCGGCCTGGGGCTGCTTGTTACCTCCAGCACAGCACATCACCGGTTTCTTTGCACCACCTTCTGTAGCTCTTGAAATTGCTTATTTGCTTGTTTGTGTCTCCTGCTGGGATCTAAGCTCTGTGGGGACAGTCACTGCCCATAGCAGGTGCTCCATCATATTCGCTGAAGCAGGAAGGAAGCAAGGGGACCGTGAGCAACCAAAGCAGTCCCAGTCCTAGGTTCCCCACCCCCGCCCTGGGCTTCGGTGCCTCCTCCCAAGCCATCCTTCTTTTTAGCTGGGTATAGGACAGGCCGAGGGAGACCCGGCTGCACGGCAGACAACCCCGCTCCTTAGCGATGGCCCATTTTTTTCACCAGCCCTGGCCCATCCTGCCCAAGGAAAGGCTGCATATGTTTCGGTGACTCTCCCACTGAGAGCCGCGGGCGACGGGGCCAAAGCTCAAGTTATTTTTGGCAAAAGTATTGGCCCAATGTCATTGCAGCAGCAATCTGGCTACTTTGTGTTACCTGGTGAAAGTACAGCCTCCTTTGGTGAAACGGGGGAGCCCATCACCTGCTCTGGAAAAGTTAGAAACTTCTGGATTTTTGCACACAATTTTCTGTCCTGAAGAGCTAAATAATAATAATAATAATAATAATGATGATAATAATAGTAGTAGTAGTAACAACTGGCTGAACGAAATGCAGAAGGAAAGGCACGAGTCGTTCACAGCGCCAGCCGGAGTGGGTTTCTGCCTGGAATGCCACAGGGGGGCCAGCTTCAGTTCCTGTCTGGCCCTGCCGGGCCGGGGTTGCAAAGATCCGTTTCAGCAGAGGGCACAGTTTTGCTTCATATCGACAAGATGTCACATAGAAGCAGGACTGTATTTTTTTCCATTTTGAACTCCCACTGATTTCATTTAAAATCACCCCGTGTTTAAGGAGGGTGGCATTAGGGACGGAATGCTGGCGTCCCTTCAGCACTGGTAGGGTGGAAGCCCCGACCCCGTGCGATGCTGTTTGGAGGTGCGGCCTCTGGAAGGTGATTAGGTCAGATGAGGTCGGGAGGGTGGGGTCCTCCTGCTGGGATTAGCACCCTTGTCCTAAGAGGAGGAGAGGCCAGAGGGCCCCTCCCCCCAGAGTGAGCGCACGGCCAGGGTGGCGGGCTGCAGGCAAGGGAGAGGGGTCTGCTGGCCTCGGGGCGTGGGGCTCCTCGGCTTCCAGGGCTGTAAGACCCGAACTTCGGTGGGGTCGTCAGAGCGGTCTGAGCTGACTGAGCCCGGTGGTGTCAGGGTGAGGACGAGGCGGGGGCACTTGGGGTGCACCGTGTAAAGCGGAGGCAGAGGGGTTTGAAACAACAGGGTCTCATTTTCATGTGGACGCTGCTTTCTGTGCCGTCTGTCCCCCTCCTGAGAAGTGGCAGTGACAAGACCCACCAGCGTGAGGCCGCGCGTCCTCTCTTCCCGGACAGTGTGCCGCCTGGATTGTTTCACGAGAGGGAAATAAACTCATATCCAACTTAAGTCATTGTATTTTGGGGTCCAATTTTTATAACCAGCCTCACACATACCTAAATAGCATAGCAGGTTCGTGGGGTGCAGAATAAGGGGGTTTGAACAGCGTCCTCAGGATTCGGTTTGCTTCTCTCGTTGTGTCTTGTTTCTGCTTCCTCACAGTGGCCTCCCCTCTCACAGCTCCTGAGGTCCAGGGAGACTGCATCTTGGCCCTGCCCAGTGTGATGCTTCGCCTGAGAAATCAGCAAAAGTAATGCAGTTCAGGCTTCCTCAGACAGCTTAGGTCGTGTCTGGACCAGTCAGTACGCCCGGAGGAAGGCAATGGGCGAGGCTGCACACCTGTCCTGGGAGCAGAGGACAACGAGGTGAAAATGGTGACCACGATTGAGACGGCGGAGCCTGGATGTTGAGAAAACAAACAAAAATGGATACTAAAATAAGTTCCAAGTTCTGAAGATTGAGTTAAAAACAGGGGTTGAAATAAGGATTTTTGTGTTGTCCCACGGTGCCGTCGTGACTGTGTGTCGGGTTGGAAGCGTGTAGTTGCGGGGTTGTGCTCGGCGCAGCTCTGCGAATGACTCCTTTCCCCTCCTGGCGCGGTGTCCCGCGCGCCTCGGGAAGGCGTCGGCGGCCGCCCGTCCCGGGAACAGCCCAGCACAGTCCGTGTATGTTGCCTGCGTGCCAGTGTGACCTCCCCGAAAACAAATAAAACCACATACGGAATTCCATTTTGCGATGGAAAGAAGCCTCTTGTCTCTTCATCTCTAGTTTGATTCCAATTTCCTCACTTCTAGCTTAATTATTTATGGATGTTGATTAAACTCAACATGAACTACCAAGGGCAAGGTTTCCCAGCCTCAATTTTTGCTGGCGATGATCTGCATTGCCCCGCGCCCGGCGCTCCGGCCCCCCCCCCCCCCCCCCCGTGCGGAAGCTCCCTCCCTCCGTTTCTCTGGCGCTGGCGTTAGTACAGCAATGGGGTGCTGGACGGCCGCCTCCCATGGGCAGGTCTGTCATGGCAACCATGGGCAGCATTTTTTTTTTTTAAGTTCTAAGCCTTCAAAAAGAATTCTCTAATTCATTTTTTTTTTTTTATCATTCCACCCTCTCTTGGTGAGAGATTTAAACTTAAAACATCATTTACATCGAATGAGGCGATGAGAGAGCTGCTGGTTTACAGTACAGACAAAAGAGTGCTCCCTGGCAGGATATTTGGTTTTTGCTTGTCCCAATTTAGGCTCAGTTCTCCTGTGACACGTACTTGGGTCTTTCTCTTCTTTAACGGACACCCAGGAAACCCAAGGTGACTAAAAGCTCATGTGCCCCATGAGTCATATAATCTTAGAGTTGAAAGGTATCATCCACTAAATAAATGAATTTTCATCTTAATAGCTCTGACGGAAGGTCACCCAGCCTTGATTCCGTCACCTCCAGTTAATAAGAATTGCCAGACTTCTGATGCTCTATTTCCCCTTGTGGCTAGCACGATGATTAGAAAGCTCTTTCTTGGAAACCAATGAGTAACCACCCCTGCCCACCCCCCACCCCCCGCCGGCCATGGTCTCTGCTGATCAGAAGGGGTAGGGGACAGTGTTTCCTCTTTCTGTCCTAAGCCCTCTGGGACTGGGGCCAGTTGCTTCCTTCCTCCCAGCGTCAGTGTCTGTAAAATATGGATGATAGTATGTATCTCATTATTCCTTTAACAGAATTACCACGCTGTCCAGCGCCCTGGTGCCCGTAAATGTTACAGGTTATCATCAGCTCAAGGAAGGCAGTACAGTCAGGTGAATGCAAAGCCTGGTCCCCCTTTAATTTTGTTCTGTGGACCGTATCCCATAATGGCTATGAGGGTGGGCTCTGAAGACATAAATATGGACCTGGTGTTTACACGAGGGGGAACCTACCTCCAAAGGTGCAGGGGAATTTAAACGTGCTTGGTACTAAGGATTTATGGGGCACCTGCTCTGGGCCAGCCTTTCGGGGTACACGTGAAACCAAATCTTAGCCTCCAGAAACTTATATTCAGGTGGGAAAGACAGGCTCAGACAATAAAAATGTGGCGTGTGCTATCACCCAGGGCGGGGTGCAGGATGCGGAGACCCTGAGGGAGCGTGCAGCTTAAGCCACGGCATCATCCCTGGTCTCACATGCCAAGGTCAAGGCCAACCATGGCAACACCACCTCCCCAGATACACACCCCACAGATGTAAAAATTAGCCCTTCGGGGGAAGAGACGGGGCTGAAGGCAGAGGTGGGGCAGGCGGCGACTGGGGAAAAGTGAAATTTCCTCTCTTTCTAAAATAAGCCCTGGGCGCAAGGAGAAAGAGCCTTACACCGGCAGGCTGTCTGCGAGGTGCAGGCGCGCGGGTGGAGGGCAGGCGGGTGTCCAACCACTTGGGAAAGTGGGCCGGGCCAGGTGGGCGGGGGACCCTGGAAGAGCGCATTCGAGCGTGTCCGCCGGTGGGTGGCCACCTCCTGGCGCAAGGACCTGCGCGGCTCCTCCTCTTCGACCCCCCCGCCTTCCTCCTCCTCCTGCTCCTCCTGGGCCCGGGAGGAGGCAGGGCTGGATCCCTGGGCAGCCGCCGCTCCTCCTCCTGGCACGCTGGCTGATGAGTCAGCTGACGCCGGCGCTCCAGCCTCGCCTGGGCTCTGCACTCTCTGCGCTCCCCCGAAGTGGCTGCAAGCCGCCCACTTCCAGGGTTCGGGGGACAGGCAAAGTGATGTGCACCTTCTAAAGCCTCGCAGAGCCTCAGCCGAAGCAGCTTCACCTCTTCAACTTTCTCCCCGCCCCCACGCCTTCTCTTGACCTGCCCTCTACCCTCCCCAAAGCCACTTAGGGTGCCTGCGCTCGGGTGAGGGGGTCACCGGCTGTCCGGGATGGCTTCCAATTTTAATGACATCGTGAAGCAAGGGTACGTGAGGATCCGGAGCAGACGCCTAGGGGTGAGTATGAATCCTCTTTTCCTCTGTTCGCTGGTTCAATTGTCTTCCTCCTTCGCCAGCATCGCGGGAGGGAGGAAGGAGATCGCGGGCGGCGCGCCGGAGAATTGCGCGGTGGCTCTCTCTGCCGGAATCCACACCTCCGGGGGCTGCCGCTGGAAGGCCAGGTCTAGGTATGTCATGGGTCTATCTTTATCACTCGGATGACTTGGCTTTCAGATGGTGGCCGCGTGTTTGGCTTCAGTAGCCACTGGAGCCCATCTACTCGAAATAAATATTTCTCGGTAGCCATGGGAGTTAGAGCTGAGAACCAGGGCGGGCGCGAAGCCTGCCGGATGCCCCCGGTGGCCCTCGTCCCGCTCGCAGCCAACTTAACTTTTCCAGGGGATGGATGGATCAGCTGGCTGAGAAAGAGGGCAGCCGCCGTCGGTGGGAACAAGGTCAGGGACCCCCTGTCCCCAGGGAGGTCCCTGCCGACTGAAAGGTCTCTTTGGACTCCGGGTCCTGGACGGTGACCCGCCTCTGCTGCAGGTATTGGGAGAGGCGGCGTGGGTAGCCCCTGGCCAGGCCACCTGGGGGCAGGTGCTCGAATCTGAATACCCCCCACCCCCGCCCCACCACCCCTCGGTCCTTAGTCCAGGTGGTGGATTTCTGCTGCCGGAACACACATTGGACCCCGCCGAGAGATGGTTTAGGAAGGAACAGAACGCCTGGCATGGGCCAGTGTTCCCTAAATATGTGCTGAAGGAAAGAGTGAATGAATCCGAGGGTTCCCGCAGGTTGCACAGGGGTGGCTTCCCTCAAACCTCCCCCGCCCCTTCCCCCTTTCCTCGTCGTGGATGGGACTTCAGACAGCACTCATTCTGCTTCTCTTTGGGCTTGAGGGACCCTGAAGGAATTCTTGAGGGAGGGGGAGGATCTTGGAATGATTTCTTTCTTTCTTTTTTCTTTTTTCAGCTTCAGACTACCTCATTCCTCTTTGCCTTGTGTCAAGTGCTGTTGCTGCCTTTGTTTACTGTGTGCGTTTGCCCAGAGGTGGGGGGAGGAAAGTTACTTTAGTCATGTCTGAGATGGTCTTGGACGTCAGCGGTGATGTGGAGCAGCGCGCCGGGGGGCGGGGGGCGGGGGGCGGGGCTAGCGCTGCCTTTCTCTACAGATATGTCCCTGGCACCTTTTTCTCATTTGGTCTTTGGACTTTCTCTGTGTGCCAGGTAATTTTACCGAAAATTGAACGGAAATTTTACCATGGTAAACAGCGAAGGAGGAAAACCTGGTGATGGGAAACATCTGTAATTATTAAAAACTGCTGCCTGGTTTGTTTTGGTGCCTCCCTGCCCCTCTTCCCTCTTTCTTCCTTTTTTTCTTTCTTACTCTTCCTCTGGCTTCTCTCCTTTTCTTTTCTTTCTTTCTTTTTCTGCTGGTTGTCATGTTCTAGCAACTATGTCCTCTGTTATTGTGACTATATAAATATATAATTAGGGAGAAATGTAACAGAATTAACCAATCCCTGTCAGCCCTGTCTAAGTTTCCTTGATTTCAGTTTTTGCTTTGCAAATGTTCTTATCACCAGGATCAACTATTGTTGGGGCACTTAACTGAAAGACTCCCATGCAAAGGATAAGAAATAATAGGAACTTTAGAGTTTTGATCATCTTTTGGGCAAGCCAGAGTGTTACAATAGTAAAGGCAGCATTGAAAAAACACCATTCTAATTTTAGATTTACTCCATCATGTCAGTTGAGGAAATTGTTAATAGGCATCCATTCTGTGTTGGGGAGCATTCCAGTAGGAAGAGGACATGCATTATTAATGTACAAAATGTGAATTATTCATAAGGATCGGAGTTTATGCCAAATTGTGACACATGGTGATGTATTTGAAAGACTAGTTACCATAACTTTGTAGCTTATGGTAATTGAGATTATTTTTCTATATAACTACAGCTGACACAATATAGTGCAATGTGTGTGCCAATGTTTATGGGCAGATCTTTGAAGCAGAAGGGAGGGAAATATAGTTTGCATTAATTTTATATTTCACAGTGTTTGGGGTGCCAGCGAGCAGTATACTTTCCCAGGACTTGTTCATTTTGTCTGTCTTAACACTCAGATTGATTTGAGAACATCTGCTGAATGATGGTTATTGCTCATGGAGAGAAAAGGTCAGAAATATAATCAAAGGAATCTGGTCTTCTTCATTGGCGTTGGTTTTATCATCAGTTAATTTTTTAAAAGCGTCCTCCTGATATAGTTTGTTTATATAAACAAGGAGGCTGCTCGCGTCGTTGTCAGAAAACAGTGCAAACTGGAGTTTTGAATGGAGACTGCAAGCAATGGGGAAGGCTGCCTCAGGGCCGGGGCGGGGGGCCTCTGTCCAGAGTGCCCGCGGGCGGCGTCCCTCCAGGCCGCAGGGAGCCGGACAGTGTGTGAAGCTCAGGGAGAGGCAGGGCACAGCGCCCGGCACCTGGCAAGTGCCCGTTGCACTAGGCGTTGAATTACCGAGCGAATGGGCGACTTCGCAATTCATAAGCCTCTTTAGGAGCTAATACTAGACATAATGGTTTTATGAATGGCATCCAGACAAGTGTCTGTGGCTTAGAACCATGTTTGGGAGGGTTTATAATTAAACAAGAAAACTGCTTTCGTGGCAAGCAGCTGTTGTGCCGCGAAGCGCTCCCTCGGATTTGGAAAAAGAGAGGAGTATGAATTCTGCTTCTATGACTCGTTAGCTCTATGACCCCTGACCTTTCTTGGCCTCAGTTTTCAAATCTGTACAGTAAACACTAGTTATGTCGGGAGCATTACATCAGGTAATACCTGTGTACCTGTGAAAATGCAATGAAAGCATACAGCATTGATTCTGATTGTATCATTTCTTTAGTGCAATCAGAGATGAGTTAGAATCAGTGGAAGGATGTAGGGATTATTGATTCCTTTATTTTTGTATTTTGAAGTGTTTAAAGGCATAAATGTTTTTGCAGCTGGAGACATTCTCACTGGATGAAGCTTTTACAAATTACATACATTCAAGTGATTTTGTTTTTTCATGAGACAGGAAACACCCCAAGGCCATCCCCATTCAGAAGGCGGGGGGTGAGTGTGCCTCCTTCGTTGAGCTCCTGCACAGTTTACATGATTAAGCAATCAAATATGGATTGAGTTTTTTCTTTAAACACAGAAAACCTTAATGGCATTCAACTCCTGTAACTCAAAAGTCTCAGTACCCTCATGTCTTCATTCTCCAGCTTACTCCGCACCGGTCCACGGAAGTTGAGGCTGTGCCCCGGTACAGGATGTGTTTAAGGATGTCCATGTTCCTGTTCGGGGGCCTGTGGGGAGAGAAGGGGGGAAGCTGCCTACAATTACTTGGCTAATCCATGAACAGCCCTAAACATTTATCCTGAAGATGAGTGGCGAATCAGACAATTTGCACACCATCATGCTGACTGGGTGTGTGCCTTAGATGGTGCCTGTTGACTGTCCTCATTGATTTCTTCCTTTGCGACAGAGAGAAGTCCCAATCAATAATTGCTATGGCTTTTCCACAATTTAAACCTCAGAGTTTAAACTCAGACTCGTTACCTGTACGCAGTCCCTCCCCTCGATTGCTCGCCTGTAAATGACATCTCTGTGCTTCCGTCTACCAAGGACCACCTCTCCTGTCTACTCTAGCCCACCTCTGCCTGGCAGTCCATCTAACTGAGGACTCACTCTGAAAGCTGCCAAACCCTTGATTGTTTCATCCAGACCAGCATCTACTGGAGTCTGCATCTCAGCCACTAGAGGTCCCAACATTTTAGTTGCCCTGGTAAAAATCAAGCCAGCAAGTCAGCAAGCCAGCCAGCAAGGAAGCCTCCCTGTCATTTCTCGTTTCTTCCCTCTGCTCTCACTCCCAAACCATCCATCAGGAGGGCTTGTGGGTTCCGGCTCTGACATGCACATGGAATCTGACTCTCTCCTACCTTCCCTGTTACCACCCTGGGCCCAGTGCCCGTCATGCCTCTCTGTCACGCGGCAGTAACCTCCCAGCCTGTTTCCCGGCTGCTCAGACCACCGTGTCTTCCCATGCAAGCCAGAGAGAAAGCTTTACAGTGGGCCCCGAGGTCCTGCGCTGACTCAGATCCTTTTCTGTCACTGTTCCTCGGGCTTGGAACCGTGCTCCCCCAGTGATCGCCTCCTGGCTCGCTCCCTCACCTCCTTCAGACTCTCCTCAAATGCCACCTTCTCGTTGAAGCCTCCCAGACACCCTACCTTCCTTCCCCCCTCCCCTTCGACCCCTCTCCTTTTTTCTCTCTAGACTTATCGCCCCCCATATATCTGTATGATTTACTTGTTGATTGCCCGTGTCCCCCAAATAGCCTATGCGGCTCCTTGAAGGCTGGGAATTCTCTGTCTTGTGTTTATATTAGAGCGGAACACCCGTGCCTGGAGCAGTGCCCAGCACATAATGAAGATGAAGGAATGCACGACACTATCACCACGGACTAGTTTAAAAGCATATTCTCTGACATGACACCATGTTAAAGCCCAATTTGGCAACCGGTTACGTGACTTTTGATGAGTTAGTGAACATACATGTAAGCCCCAGTCTTCACTCCAAATGGGGAGGCTCAGAATTCCCACCTCCTAGACAACCCTTGTAGAACAGGGCATAGGACAATGCTTGATACAGTGGGAGCCCCATTAATGTTTATTGCTGCTCTTACTCTTAACTGCCCCCGAGCTAGGAAAGGACAAGGACGTGTAGGTGGCAACTGTTTCCACTGCTCCTACTGCGTTAGCTCTCATGCTCCAAGAACTTGCTGTTTAGTTAGGAAAACAGACTTAATATACGTGAACTAATGAACAGACAAGCGCAAATATTGCTTGGCACGGATGCTAGAATATTTGCCGTAGTAGGATTTCTCCTGATCCTTATAGATCAATGGCAAAGATGTCAAGGCCCAGAAATGATCACCTCTGTTAGTTTTGCTCTGAGTGAGCTCATCTGACTAGGAGGTTACT